TAAAAAGCAAACGTTAGAACATGTGGAATTTGTCCTAGTTTACCAGGCAATTCTTGTGGATAATAACTTTGCACTTTTCCGTGAACCCTATTATATTGGCCTTATGCCAAAATATGATTATTAAATACGTTCAGTATATTTTTTTCTTTTTTATGTGCCGCATTCCTTGAGAACGTAGGCGATCATGGCTCTCCATTACCTCCTCTCCCTTGTTGTTCTCAATAAGTTTTATCTTTTTGTTGCTTCTCTCAGTTTTTTTTTTCTGCCATCCACTTTCTTAAGCCTGTTAAGTATGTCACACGTTGCTTTCCCTTGTCCTCCTTACCCACTAGCCGCCCTGTGTGTATCAGATTTTCCAAGCCTTTCTTTTTCATTACGCGTCCCAGAAATTTCAGCTATCTCTTCCTGATGTTAAGTATGTTTCCTCTTTGTCTTCAAATCTTCTTCATCGTTGCTCACATGTTTGGTCAATGGCGTCCTTAGCATCCTTCTGTAGAGCCATACCTCCGTTGCCTCGAGTCTCTTCTTCATCTTTGAGGAAGACGTCCATCATTTTCTGTCGTAAAGGAGGACAGATATCACGTAGCAGTTCGGTACTCTGTTACCAACGAAATCCTACTGTCTCATAATACTCTGTCTGGTTTTTGGAATGCGTCTTTGGCCATCCCAAGACGTCTTTAGATCTCAGTGTCACACTTACCGTCCTCTGTCAGAACACTTCCCAGATATATAAATTTTCTCGCCTGCTTCATTTTGATAACCCCGACCTGTAAATTGCATTTTGGGTTCATCTTTTTGTATTCTGTCTTCTTGTAGTTTATCCTTAGCTCCGTCTTTTAACTTTCCTTCGCTATCTTTTATAGGAGGTTTTTTAATTTCATTTCCGTGTCTGTGTCTTCTGCGTATCTTATGTTAAGATTGTGGCCGCCAATAAATCCTAATAGGATTTCTAGTTCTCATCAGAATTGCCTCGCTGTATAGGTTTAATAAGTCCGGTGAGAAGACACATCTTTGCCTTGTGCCTCTTTCTATTTTTGTACATCTGATGAAATCATTTTTTTATCCGTATTCTGACTGTTTGCTAGCAGTATAGGTTCCTGATTATTCTAATATCTTTCCCAAATATATTAAGGTAGATGAGCAGTTCCAATTGCAAATATGTCAGTTTCGCAGGCCATTTCTAATAAGTCGGATTCTTATTTGATGACCCAAATTCGTGGTTGTTTCGACGGACATTAAAGTTTCTTCCCCCCCACCTTTTTCTATACTTTTCTTCTATTTGTAATTATTCTATTATTTAAAAGAAGAAAACAAAACAAAAATAATGCTCTTTCTGACTTTTCACTCATTATTACTTCTTAAACTCATGTCTTTCATTTTCATCTTTTTTAAAATCTTTTATTCCTTGTTCCGTCAGAAAATTAAAATATTCATTCTTCTCCCGATTTCTTTCTCTTTTTTATTTTCTAATTCTTTCTTTACTCAAACCTTTACATTCATTTTCTTTTCATTTCTCTCTTTTTAATTTTTTTTTTCTGCGAGGGTTCACTATTTTCCTTTTCAATCAGTAAATCTTTCTTTTTATCTTTTCTTTCTATTGTCTCTTGTCAATCTCTTCTTTCTTTCTTTCTTTTCATCCTTTCTTTCTTTCTTTTTTGTCCTTTCTTTCTATTGTTTTTATCAATGCCTTCTTTCTTTCTTTCTTTCTTTCTTTTCATCTTTCCTTTCTTTCTTTCTTTCTTTCTTTCTTTCTTTTTATCCTTTCTTTCTATTGTCTCTCATCAATCCTTCCTTTCTTTCTTTCTTTCTTTCTATCCTTTCTTTCTATTGTTTTTATCAATGTCTTCTTTCTTTCTTTCTTTCTATCCTTTCTTTCTATTGTCTCTCATCAATCTCTTCTTTCTTTTCATCCTTCCTTTCTTTCTTTCTTTCTTTCTTTCTATTGTCTCTTATCAATCTCTTCTTTCTTTCTTTCTTTCTTTTCATTCTTTCTTTCTTTCTTTTTATCCTTTCTTTCTATTGTCTCTTATCAATCTCTTCTTCCTTTCTTTTTTCTTTTTATCCTTTCTTTCTATTGTTTTTATCAATCTCTTCTTTCTTTCTTTCTTTCTTTCTTTCTAGTGTCTCTTATCAATCTCTTCTTTCTTTCTTTCTTTCTTTCTTTTATTCTTTCTTTCTTTCTTTTTATCCTTTTTTTTCTATTGTCTCTTATCAATCTCTTCTTTCTTTCTTTCTTTTTATCCTTACTTTCTATTGTCTCTTATCAATCTCTTTTTTCCTTCTTTCTTTCTTTCTTTCTTTCTTTCTTTTTATCCTTTCTTTCTATTGTCTCTTATCAATTTCTTCTTTCTTTCTTTCTTTCTTTCTTTCTTTTTATCCTTTCTTTCTATTGTTTCTTATCAATTTCTTCTTTCTTTCTTTCTTTCTTTCTTTTTATCCTTTCTTTCTATTGTCTCTTATCAATTTCTTCTTTCTTTCTTTCTATTGTTTCTTATCAATCTCTTCTTTCTTTCTTTCTTTCTTTTTATCCTTTCTTTCTATTGTCTCTTATCAATTTCTTCTTTCTTTCTTTCTTTTTATCCTTTTTTTCTATTGTCTCTTATCAATCGC